AATAGGCCACAGTATTTGCCACTGTGTGCAACGATCACACAAACTCACCGCTGCTGGCACCTAGTGCACACATACACACACAATTAGGCGTCTTCGATCCAATGACACTTGCATCTCCACACCACCTACAGTTACGGTCCTGGGCGTCAAATGCCGAGCAACTGAAAACCAATCTGCACACTCGAGTGCATGCCTTTCAACTACAAGGTAGGAGAGCACACACGTGTACGGTTGCCTGGCCCGCTACCCAGTTGACTTCGACAGCGGGTGGCGGCTACCGCCTACAATCACTCTGGGCCAATATTTGATCATCCAGACTTACATCAGCATGATTCCGATTATGGCCAACAACACACGTGCAACATAGCCACCGGTAGTACCGTCGACGTGACGAATTAAACACAACACAAGGCGAAGTGCCATCCAACCGTCCTAAGCCAACTCCTACAGAGACAATTACATTGGGGCATTGCTGGCGACCACAAGGCACGCGCGCATTCCACTCCTGCTAAATAGGGCAAGGCTATTTTCTAGCCAACACAACCTGTGGGTGCTACCACTTACTGGACGATTGTGGGGGACCCGTGGAACACTTTGTACCGCACCGAAGATCTAACCACCGTAGACATTGGCACACAGACCCCTTCACTGACACTAGCACACTCTTCAATGGCTCATTAGAGCACAACCTTAAAGCACTCTCTGGTCCGTATACAGCACATTGGTTACCAAATGCATTCAAGCCACACATTCGGCCGTATCGTGCCAATAAGTCCATTTGCCTCCTTCTGTTACCACAAACGACGTTCGGGTCTTTGATGGGAGGATCCTCAACCATATCTCTTTCCACCGTCACTCAACAAGAGGTGCGCTGATGAAGACAACATTTCAACAGGAAAGGCCTTCCAACAAGTGTAGCATTCCATGTCACCTCAACTACCATGTCCAATTCTCGACGCAGAGACGATGCACCTGCGTTAAACGCCGGCTTAGTGACTGTGGCAATTACCTACAACCACCACAAACACCTCACACCTGCCACATACAAACACACGCGCACACCTGTTTGTCAGTGTCAATTTCGAATGCACCAACAATCACTATCGGCTGTTGCATGACCGCAGACACATCTTCACGGAGTTTAAACAGCCACCACAAAGACACCAAGATCGGTGCATAAAAGCCGTTAAAATCCATTCGGCATCACTACGAGTAGGCCAAGTGGTGGATTGCGTGGGAGACTGACTTCGCGCGTGTCATCGTGCCTAACTTCCCACCACCTCAATACCACACCTACCCTTCACCAAGAGCAGGACGACTGTGAAATAGTCATGTTAATTCACCAAACACAAAAAGCCTGCCAGCAATGCCCTCTATGCAACACTGCAAATGCCTTTCGAGTAGCGGCAGCAGAGGAGAGGTGCTACACCAAAAAGGAAGAATTTCAGGCTGATTACGCCCGTATCGCGCGACAAACGCGCACAGGCCGATCCCACTAAAGACAGATTGTAAGTGTACGCATGACTGGTCGATTATTCGACCGCTTCAACAACGACGCCTTCCACCAATGCAAACCTCTTTTGGTAACTGATTGACGACTGCTACTCACAGCTAAGCACGTCTCGCAGACCACTAGCGTGCATCTGTTCAAAACCATTGAGAAAGGAAATGGGTACGTATTATTCGATATACGATAAGTGAAAATTTTGAAAAAAATATTGCATCTACATGTATACTTTGAGACAGGAATGTCGGTTCTTCTGTCGGCTGAAAATTTTGTTTTCAGTAATTTAATGTCTCGGCACTTTGTCTCCACCATCAACTGATGGTAGTCTGATTGGAGCCGACGTGTAAAGATAACCATCACCAGCCAAAAAACTAGATGAGTTGCCAGAATATAAGTTTATTTACACATATTTTTGGGTTTGATTTCGGAAGGTTTCTTGAGTCTTAGCCCAGACTAAAACAAAAATAAAGTCCATGGACTGCCGTATTTCAGGCGATTCACATATTTAAACTACGCTTACCTTTCCAGGATGGATTCGCGGAGAGTACCTGCTTCGGCAGAGACATTTACTTCATTGAGTTGAAAGATCGATTCGATCATCTGAACGTTAACGCGATGGCGTCAGGATTTTGTCGTAACGCATTAAAGTCATTTTGCTTCTGCTTACCGTTAATTCTGCACTAGTTGTTTCGAGACCACAAAAAGCCAACCAATCGTTGACAACAAGACCACTGCCAATCAAGGGACTGCCGCGATTAACAGACCCAGCGGCAAGGGGAAGTTGAAGCAAGCTACTTAGCTCATCCAGCTCCTGGATGGTCGTCTGTGGATGAACAAGTCCACCGCGGTTCGTTAAACAAGCATATGTCCCAACGAGGGCTTGGCCAGCCACTACACAGCGGAATGCTTCAACATTTAAGACGTCAGTGATGAGTTCCTCAGTTTCCTGGAATAAAGAATGCCATTTTTGCACCACTAACAGGGAGTAAAAAAGCAAGACAATCGTCTAACCTTGTCCAGATCCGGATGTATGAGGGCAACGTAGTCATTACAAACCACAGTATTTCCTAGGGCCGACAATCTCTCCTCAATTCGAACGCACTTTACATTGTCAGGCAAGCTATTATGCAAATGAGTAAGTTCCTGATCTGTAGCCGTGTGCGGAATGAGGAGACCATGCTTGTTTCCTGTTTTAAATGCGAAGATTCAATTAGGCATCAAAGTTTAGGAAATGATGCTAGGAAATGTTTTCCATGCGGATGTAACCACACAGAACCTTTGATTTGCGAGAATTCGATCCGACTAAAAAATCAGCCGGTGATTTATTCTCGTATTATGAAAAGATGCACCTTGATTACCTGCAGTCAAGCACCCGACAGACCGAATACCGGCAATACTTGCGTGGATGACAGGTATGCTATCAGCTAATTCAGCCTCAAAAACACTGAAAAAATACACAATTCACGCGCAGTACCTGTAAAATCCTTCAGAACCACCGATAGAAACAAGACAGTAGGAGTTGGTTAAGCGAGCAAATACGCCAATGTCGTTATGACCCTCAAACTGGGCTCTAAATGCCATTAGCCGAAAGCACAGCGCCCAAAACCCGAAACGGCGCCACTACAAATACGGCGTAGTTAAAGCTGAAATTTGATTAAATCTTACTTGTATTACAAGGCCCTAAATTAGAGCCAGCACTATCAAAACAGGAATAAATTACATGTAATAGGTGCCTGGACCACAAATAGTATCAAGTCTATCCATTTACGTTGCCTAATTTGTGCTACTATAGTTCCTGTCTTTGCAACCGAACACACAAATCACTGCAACCATCGTATGTGATTTTTCTTTCTTTTTCACACCTGACATAAAGAAATTAGTCCCACCTTTCACTAATTATTTGGACATAATTACGTTAGGTTTGGTGCAGGAAATAATAATCCTTAACTCCGATTCCCAAAACTTACCATCACGCCCAACGTCCACAAATTTTAAGTCAGACAATCACAAAAAACCAGAAGTGATTGACATCGTGCACTCACAGTAGACCTAAACATCCGTCGAAAATGCACACATTTTTCTACAAAAAGTATCTTTTACTTTAATCCACCGATATGGCAAATGCTAGCACACCAAAAAAAAGCGCTACATTGAGGTGGTCATTTCGATTGTTGCAGCACTGCCGCTAATGCTACGACCTGTTTAAATGTGCTATCAAGCTCTCGCAATCTCCGCGTGCCTGTAGAGCAGTCTCGAGTGGTAATCTTGATTCTGATTCAGCCCAAAACAACAACATACGATCACCGGCTATCACGTTCTGTTAATCAACGAACTCATTCGGGTAGTGATGTGGTGGAATTTAGTTGAATTTACTGCAAGAAAGTCGATAAATACATCCTGAATATCTGATCCGAATCGACAGTCACGCCAGATCAAAGGATGCTTAATCGGCACTGAAATATTCTTGTTAATGTCACCTACCACTGCGAGATATCGGGTGATGCTTTTCTATCTGCGCACCAGATGTACCGGTTACGGAGATGGATGCTTCTTCAGAGGAACTAGCGTTCGATTCCTCTGAGGGTACCCGAGAAAGCTCCGTTTGAAAAAATGATTGATCATTGCCAGCATTCCTTTCATCACTTCCCTCGCCTTCTCTCCTTGGACGACTCATCATCGCCTCGGGTGTCCCCTGAGATGGCCATTGGGAATGGTTTTCAGAATGCATGGCTAAAGATGCTGAACGCTTGCAGAGAAGATTTTGCCAAAACCCTGCGTGGCTCTGACGTGACGAATGCTGGTGCTGCTGATAAGTGAAGCGAGAAGGTGCAGCAGCTTCAGGGTCGTCTGGTGAAATAGTCTTTTCAGAATCCTCCTGCTTTTCCTCCTTCTCCTGTCCGTTATTTTCAAGGTCTCCTTCGACCGTTGCGGCGAGTTGCCGCAGATGCATGAGGCGTGCTGCCCCTAGTGCACTGCCACATTTTAGCGTCGCCTGAAAACAGTAAATCCTATTGCCAAAACCTGTAAACCTACTTAACAACTTTGTGTCTGGAAACATTGGACTTTTTGAAAACGTGGAGTCTGTTTTAAAGCATAATGGAAGGAAATTTTAATTTATTGTAGATGGACGTTAGTCAGCGAAGGTATGTTGGACTAACGTTGTCCTCTAAATTTGTTCTGCATTTAATAAAAGGTCATTTATCAGAGCCATTAAGTGGCAATTGTCCTGACAAGGCTGGCTGATCTAGCATCCTGGATTGAAATTTCCCCTGTATTGTAGAAGCAAGCATTACCCAGGGCTGTTATTCGCCACTGTTTACACAACTCCCCTAATGACGTCACTTCATTTGGTCATTCCATCTTAAAAGTCCCCCACAGAAAGCTTCCATCTGCCTGAATGCCTCTCTGCCCGTCTCGTCAACGTCGCCCACGGCATGGTGACGTCACGCGGGCTACGACTGGGGCAGTGAAACGCTCTTTGCCGGGAAATTGGTGACGCGGGCTCAAGTGATTGCATTGGGGGCTTTGTGCCTACTTACCGGTAATACTAAAACCTGGAATTGGTAATCGGCGTAAACGGTGATGAGCATCAAACTCAAGTCAGTTGCTTCCACAATAAATAACACTTTGCCGGAGCACTTGTAATTCAACACTGTTTCTGTTAAAAAGGTGAATGTTTATGAGAATGGTTTTATGTCGAACAACAACAACGACCTCTCTCAGAGATGAGCCGCAATATCATGTTATGAGGTGATATTTGAATGCCAATTGACTACCGGAATTCGCTACAAAGCATGGCTGTTTACCACTACAACTAAATCTGTAGACAGCTCTAAGGGGAAATAAACAAAAAGGCAATTAAAATCTGCCTCAATAATTTTGCATCATCTAATGAGCCACAGATATTTTGATTTTAGCCAAACTTACTGTAATTCTTAACTTGACGGCCTTTATACCACTCGTGAAATCCAACTGAATGATCAAAGAAGTTTTGACTTAACTGACTGCTGAGGATGCAAACTAGTTTTGAAAGCCGACTACTGGGAGTGAAAATTTGGTTCATAATTTGCCACATTTAGAGTAAATGAGGAAAATTAAAATGGAGGCTTAGCGTGAAGTTTAACTGTTTTGGCAAATTAAGCTTTAAATGAAAATTAATTGAGATTGCTTGGTTCAGAGGATCAACAGAAGGTAACAACTCCAAGTACATCATCAAAAGAGAAACCACAAATGGTAATAACTTGCAATTAACGAACCTATTCACACTTGTGCGTTTGCTGACTCACCTGATTTGAGAGTACGTGTCGATAATCATGATAGACGCGGAATGAACGACTCCTTTCAATGCAGCTGGTTTGTCTTCGGGGCCTCAGTTGAACCTCATTCCGTCCGAATGCTCCGTCCTTGAAAAACAAAAACGGTGTCTATGCCGACATTTCGCCTCCATGTCTTTTTCTTTAATTAAGCAAATTTACCACCACTTCGCTGAAGATAAAAGTAAAAAATTCACGATTAAATCGATTTTCTGTACTTTGGGTTGCCATAAGTTGCATAGGCGGCGCTTGGGACAGAGCAGTGTAGTCGAGATGCAGCACCTCCTTTTTGGGATTCATTGTTGTCGGCCAAAAAACGCTCCTGATTAACTTCCCCAGAGGTACACAAGACAGGAAACTAAGGCACTTTCCCAAAATCAACACTTGGCTGTGTTCAATCTTGAATACCCAAACCCAAATGGGAGGTGGTCCTATCGCAACAAACAAGCAATTGTTAGTCAGGCGGAAGCGATGTTGGGCAATTCCGCTGCACCATAAGTCCGTTGAGACGGAGAGATCAACATTGAAGTTTCAACATCCAGATAGGCAATGGTCAGTAGCAACTTTAAGACAGGTCTGGCATTTCGGACATGGCAATGTCTTCACTTTCGAATTAGATCTTTTCCAGCCATTAAACGCGAAGTCAGTCGAATGGATCTCCACCTGTTTCACTGGCAAAACACGCCATTTGAGCACCCACTTTGAGTAGATTAAGCGGTTTGTGTGGCAGTAAGCGTACTAATACACACGTAAATATCTTCGGAGTATTCTTTTAAACCAGTATTTAATTGACTTAAAAAATCAACGATTTGGCAATGCCCTTAAACTTTCCGTAAATTTTTTGAGCCCTGCTTGTCTCAATTTTCACTTTTCAACTATCGATGTCTGCTGTTTAGGAGTCCTATTTTACATAACTTTGATTTAGAATATACAAATTATCGAGTATGACCCAAAATGTTTGGTGGGATTTAGAGGCAGCCTAAATACCCACCACTTTCAGAATGTGGTCACGGGTATGTAACACGGAAAACGACAAAGCACAACTTTATGCTACATTGAAGTTCGCTAACTTCGAACCCCCAACTTATCAGTGCAAAGATCTCACAGGTGAAACGTTATATCTGTAAAGCTTGCCTTTTTAGAGTGAAAATTCAACAGATCCATGGCCTCAAATTATAAAATGGCATTGTGAACTTACTAGGAGGATAAGTTAGAGAGGTGACGCAATGGCGTTAGCAGTTATGCAAGGTTTTACTTACGGAAGCAATAGAGACTCTCGGAAGCGAGAAGTTGTTGCTGGCACGTTCGTTTCCGACTCTGACACCTCCGTTGTGCGCCAGTGCCTCCGTGGCACGCGTGAATTCGGCCTCAATTGAAAGAAAATCATGTTACTCATCACTTTCACAGAAAAAAATCATCCATACAGAACCCGTTACCTACTATGAAGTCAGTGTTTCCACCATTTGCCAAGGAGCTAATTGTTTGCAGATGTCGGTCTTGACCGATTCCCTAAAAAAATTGCATGTTTATGAAGAGAAGTCTGTCTGCACACGCGCACTAGGCGTAAGGCATCAGAGGCTTCAGTTGAATCCAACAGGATACAAAATTACTCATTGTGTCTGCAAAGACGAATGATCCTAACTTTGAGAATGAGTATTTTAAAACTGACAAAATAAAAAAAATAAGGTCGCATTCAGAAGTAGTAATCACTTAACCATTCAATTTAACAACAGTTGCTGAAGGGATTTTAAATGAATTTAATGTATAATATCAAATAAAAACCAATGGACAGGAATCTGGTAAGTTAAGATAAAGGTGTCTGTTTATTACCTGTAGTGTTGTGTCTAAATAAAACCGGACAAACTCGAAAGGACTTAAAAAGCAGTAATGTCTGTGCCGATGGATTTGGTTTTAATTATAACTTTGAAATATTGTTAAAATCCCAATACTTTGTCTTTTCGTAGGGCATGTGGAAATTTTTTAACTTTTGCTGGGTATAGGTTCTTAGCAATGAACATCGACCCATTAACAAGACATAAACTGTTATAAATGTGGAATCAGTTAGACGGTTAGCTGAGAAGTAGCTTTCGAATCCATTTAGAAAGCATAGTGTGGCCATCCAAGGTGAACATACTTCCATGACAGCTTGAAAATCAGCAGTAAGTTGATCCGTGTCTTCGGCGGAGAGGCCGGCATCAGAGGGTACGAGAGAGAGCCGAAGATATTCCTGGTAGGCTTGTGTGGCCAGATCTGCGGCCTTGAGTCTGT